AAAAAGAAGGCAAGAAAGTAACTTGCATATTTGAAGATGACTTTTCCTCCCTGAGAGGTTCCTATAGAGGGCACTTTAATCTTACGGTAGGATGCACGCTAGGTGATGAGTCTTATGTCAGTTCCACTGAAATGGATTGGCATGTTGTCTGGCTGAAAAGTGCCCCCATTTCCAACCTTGCACACACAAGATGTTGATCTTCCCAGAGTATAAGTTAACTATTGGCAAATTTTCTTGAAAGCTTTCTTGAAAGAATGAGAAAGTGCAGATTTCTGCAGCAAGTGAAAACCTGGTGTTCTTTTTTACTGTTTCCTTTCTTAATACTTCCCTCTATGTTAGGTCTGGTCTGTTCCTGCTATGAACCATGAAGCAGCACAGCTTCACACATCTTCAAACTGGGCTCTCGTTTGCTCTTGAGCTTGTACGCTTGCTCTTTTCATTTCCCCTCCATCTCTAAATATCTATTGTCAGCATTTTCAAGGCAAAACACAGATGGTAGAAGCAATGCGGAACTATTTGTTTAGGTCTGGAGAAAAGTGGGCAGTATTCAGGAGAGCAGTTAACTTTGTGCTACTGGATTGTGTGCTGCAAAGCATGCTGCTTTGTAACAAAGCTTATGAGCCTTTTAAAAACCTAAGAAAGCAACTGGTCCCACTCTGCTGGAAAACAAAGTGCAGGAGCTAGGGAAGAGCTGAGGAATCCCAGCTCTGGGATTTATACAGGCATCCAGTCTCATTCGACAGAGCAGGAACAGACAACCCCAGAGGAAACTGGGTGTCAATGTATAACAAGATCAGTTGCATTTATGGGGTCTTTCTCATAGTGAAGGGCCAATCCAGTAGCTGAGGTTATGTCCATGTCTGACCTGAAGGACAGTTAATGGATTTTTCTATTTGATAGTTTGTTCTGTTCTTTACTTACATAAGGTAAAGCTACTGAGCTGTGGTACTTACGTGCCTGCCTTGGAAGAGAGTCAGACTGGAATGAACCATCATTCTGCTGAACATGTAAACACACTTAACATTAGCCGTATTGTCAATATAAGCTGTTCAAAGGTGATGGATTAGGTCCTTAAAATTTTGTGATGCTGGTTTAAAAGTCATGTGATATCAAAACATAGGACATCTTGGATACTTCATATCTAGCTTCTTAGCCTTTGTCCCTCTTGGTTACACAGGAGGTTGGATGAGGTGTCCTCCCTAGTTCCCTCCCAGCCTGAGAGAGACTTTCAAAAATCACAAGCAGTAGAAATCCTGTAGCTTTGAAGTGTCTTCTGAGGTAATTTATAATATTCTCTACTATTTAAAAACCTGCGATTGAAAAGAAAGCATCAAGAATCATAAAGATGTCGGAAGTCCTTGGTTGTAACAAGATAAAACCTAAACATCAATTAATTTTGCCTAGCTTCTCTTTGGATGAAATACATTGCGCATCTGTTTTTCTTACATAATGACAGTTCAGGTAACGGACATCTCTCCTGGCATACTTTTTGTCATTGGTCAAATTCTGGTGTACCTAAGCCAGCGAGCAGTCCTAGAGCCACCTGCACGCTCACCGGGATATGCTTAGCGGAGTAGGTGTTCTGCATCACCTGCAATTTTGGCCATGAGAGCTAAGACCTGACTCTTTTCAGAGGTGATCACTTCTAACTCCACAGTGAACTGTGAGCTGGCTACTTTATGCAAGGGAAAGGAGACCACCCTCTGAGTTTTTCTTTCCTCTAAAGTTGGCAGCAATTAAGTAGCCATTTCCTCAGCTTTTTGACACAGGGACTGGCCTGGTTGTTCTGCTTTTAATGAAACTCTTGTGGTGTAATAAAGAAGGATATCTGTAATACAGACCTGTATAGACAGGACAGGGCAAAGTCAGAAGAACTTTCCACATAAAAAGTTGTGGGCAGCCCTGTGATCGTTCCCAAGCTGGTCTGTGCTATGAGCTGTTGTAAAGGCATTTCGAGTTTTATTATGCCTAACCTGCAGAAGGCCTCTTCCTGGCAATGGCTCTTGGTGCCAGATCCACCAGGAAGCGTAGTCTTTTCAGAACTGTTTAGAATTCACAAGACTTTGTTTTGTTTATTGAAAGTACAGCCTCAGTCTCAGCTGCTTTAGATTTGCCATGTGCTGCAGAATTTGTTACAAGGGTGGCACTGGGAGAGCGCAAACTCAGGCTCATGGGATGTTTGTAGGAGTCTTTGATCTCAAAATCCTTCTGCTCCAAACACAGTGGTAACATAGCAATGACAATGCTATGTTCTTTAGGAGACTCATGAATATTGGGGTTTGATTCGGACTGTTGCGTCTCCGTGCGGTGTAATATTATGGGCTTAACACCAAGCACGGTAAAGTTGACCGAAGTCTCGCCATCACCATCAGTGGATTTTGGATTAGGCCACACATGTGCAGGCCGCTCATCCTGAGCATCGAACAGGCAACGCAATCTTCTAAAAGCAGGATGAAATAAAGGGTAACTGTAACAGTATATGTATCTGCAAAGGGAAATGTAGTCAGTATAAAACCACAGGAAGCTTATTAAAATTTTGTCATATGTTGGTAATGAAAACATATTGGGCTACTGCAAATATGCAAATATAGTCAGTGGAGCAGAGTTAAGCCCTCAAAAAAAGCATTAAATATTTTTAAAAATAATTTTTGGCTCTTATGTTCTGACTGTGTTTGCTTTCCTCAAATATTTTAGCGAACAGGTTTACTCATAGAAGTATTCACATTGTAACCAGATATTTGAGAATACTTGCTAAAAATCTATTTCTAGTAAATAGTAATAATAATAAATGCATATGTTTGCTCTAGAAACCAAGCTACAAAAGTTGTGCTAAGTCTGACCAAAGAACCTGAGTAAGGCTAGGAATACCTCCAACGGCAGCTAGCAAAAGTATCTTTAATTTTGACCATCGTATACCTGCACCAAGCTAGTTATTAGATGGCTGATTATTATAAAAAATTGCTGTTACCAAACAATTTGGGTACACTGGGAGAAGCAAGCTATTTGATTCTTACCATATAGACTGAATATGTGGGAAATAATCGGCCACTAAGGCTTACTTGGCTCTGGTCAAAATGAAAGAGGCGTATTAATAAAGTGCAGGACATACTACATCTGCTCTGCCGAGCGCAGCGGCGGATGAGCCCCCCTGTCAGAGCGCGGGCAGAAATGGAGAGGGGGCCGGGGGGAGCCCTCCCTCCACGCCGCCT